CACACACACTGACACACACAATAACAAGAAACACACTGTTACAAACTATTGGTTACTGTTATTGGATCGCTACAACTCAGAAGCGAATGTTATTCCTTGTTACATTTCACCCAGAGTTTGACTACAGTACTGGGATTTGATACCTAACTCCCGAACTATGGGCCTGCTGGCTATTCGTTATACAAACGGATCTTGGCGTGTGCCGCCACTTAACCCCGGTCACCCCTGGAACAACCAAATGGCCGACCATCCTACGAGTGGAGTGTGTCTCCACTTAATCGCCCAGAGAGTTGCGGTCTGAGGTTAACCGCAACCTAATTGACCGCAGCAGGGTGTCCACGTTCATGCCCCATCGCCCGATACTCTAACTACTGAACGGGTACCGAACTACAGCCTGGCGTGTGGCTCCAATCAGAATGTTGGTTTCTGCGGTTAACCACAGGTTAAGCACCCCCTCCTGGTGGTCTTCATTCGCCTCCCGAACAACGGAGACATCCAGCGACAGAGCGTGGATTCGTGCAGACTTCTAGCCGGTTCCTGTTCCACAAGTTTGAGAGTGAAGTCCCGCGGCCTATTAGTCTGCCTCAAAACATGGCCGCCATCACACGCTCAGAACCCAAAGACACGAACAGACTTTGTTTCGAAGAAATTAAGCGTACCATTTGTGGGTTCTGAGCGCTCTTCGGTTAATTGTTTCGCCTCAACCGGGGCTATGTAATGAATGGTGGAAGGCACAAATTATGTATAATACTGGTTGAGTTATGTATTTTTATTCTGTTTTCTATGGGGCAAAAACACGTGGGGTTTTGGCCGCTTGGAGATAATTGTATTGTCACAACCGTTGGATTCATTATCTCCAGGCTGGGTGGTGACGATTTCAAACGATGCATTGCATTTCTATTGGTTCTCCACTTGTATTGTCCCTGTATCCCATCAGGTCCAGAGGGGGCTGTCCCTGGACCTGAGATTTTGCATAAATACGGTCCCCTGTGTGTCATTAAGAACAGTTCTTGCTTGACCATCAAATCGCAACTTCGACTCGTTTTGTGGGGAAAAGGGTATCCGAGCTGTATGATAGCTAGTGGGATTGCTCTACATTTACAGAATTCGTTTGGAATAACTACCGAAGTGGCTCTCCTCTTTCTCTGCCTTTGGGATCCAGACTATCCAAGTGGTCCAGCTTCCAGCTAGCCTGGAGGTAACCGTAACACACACTGACACACAATTAACACTCAGTAACACACACACACTGACACACACTGACACACAAAAACTAACACACTTACTGACACTCACTAACAGACTCACACAAACACTAACACACTCACAGTTTTTAATTTATTTATTTAATCCCCCAGCCTCCCTACCTTTGGGAGTGCTGAGGGGATTCCATAATCCCCTGGGGTCCAGTGGTGCTGCTGGGCGGCTGGTCCTGCAGGAGGCGAGAGAGCACTGATCCTCCTGTTTAGCTCCCTCGCGCGCCGCTTATTGATGCCGGAGCCGGAATGACGTCATATTCCGGCTCCGGCATCACTGCGGTGCACGCGAGGGAGCTGGGCAGAGAGCACTCAGGGGAAAATGTGCCCTCACGTGCCCAACATATTATGTCATTGCCAGCCTCAAGGGGCCCTGAGGTGGCCAGCTCCTGGGCCCCCCAGGAGAAGAGGCTGGCAAAATGTGGGCACTGGCGTACATACCGAGCAGCTGCGACCGTGGTATGTTCGCCAGTGGTTGTATACCTGTTAGCCTGTTCATGTTTTGTCCAATATGTGGAGCAAACATCTTAAAAAGCAAAAGATAATTTCAGTGAACATTGTATGCCCAAACTACATTCCCATTTTGTAAATTCAGTGTCTACAGAAATTGTGTCAGTTGAATGATAATTTGTTTTACCACAATAATATTAATGCAATATTGCATTTATATGTAATTTCAAAGTATTATTGTATGCATCAAAGTTATGATAATTTTGTGTAATGCTGATATGTGTGAAATATTTTGTGTAGTGCCAGTGAAAATAAAATGCAGTTTTTTTGCATGCAGTGCAGATGTATGAATGGCAGGCAGTGTTCTATTAGAATGTAGAACAGATATGTGTGAATACAGGGATTTATTTATGTGGGTTAAATTCGGTTTTACTGCAATAAAACATACATATTTGTATTCAGAAATGACTCACGAGTAAAGCAGTAACCCCCATGTTCAGGTTTTATAGGGTTTTGGAAAGTTACAGGGTCAAATATACGGCTTGTCCATAAATATTTTTTTCTACGTAGAAATTTGTCAGATTAGTTTGCTGTGCCTAGGTTGCTTTTGAGACCGTTTGGCAGCCAAGAAATGAAAATTACCCCCATTATGGCATACCATTTGAAAAAGTAGACATCCCAGGGTATTCAAAATGAGGTACTGCTCAGATTATTTTTTTGCATTTTTCACATAAAAACTGTACTTTCACTAGTAATAATATTGTCTGTATATATTATACTGCCCTGAAACACTCCTAGTTCTGTTCAGTGATGTCTCATGAGCACCACAGTACCCCCCATGTATAGGTTGTATGTGATTTTGGAAAGTTGCAGGGTCGAATATACAGCTTGTCCATTTATGTTTTTACACATTGAAATTTGGCAAAGTGATTTTCTGGGCCCTTTCTCGATCTTAGATGAAAGAGGAGGAGGCTTGATGTTAAAATTAAGAAAAAGAGAAGGCATTTGGATTCATAAATTGAAAACCATGCAACCAAGAGGCCTAAACGTTGATTTGATTTTGAAATAATTGTGTTTATATTTTGAGATGAATTGACAATAATTTGATAAAAAATTTATGTCAAAAATTTTATCATTTTCTCTTGTATTTTTATATTAATTCCTTTTTTGTATTCATTCATTTTTTATACTCACCACCTTTTAAGTATATTTAGGGTCTCCTTTCTATCTTTTTTGAGAATTGGGGACATTGTGGATTTTTTAGGTTTTTTAGAATTTGAGTATCTAATGCAATATTTTAGTATCTTAAAAAGAAATTATATATTTTTTAGTATTTTAGAAGTAAGATGGATCCTTCTGACCTTATATTCATTACATTCATATCTGTTGTATATTTATGTGCATAATTTATATTTCATACAGTATGCTAAATCTATATCAAGTGTCTGCATGTCTCTAACTGTTATCAATATAAAGATAATGATTAGAGTTGAGCGGACACCTGGATGTTCGGGTCCGGCCGAACTTTGAAAAAAAGTCCAGGTTCGGGCTCGAATTTGACCCCGAACCCGAACCCCATTGAAGTCAATGGGGACCCGAACCTTTGTGCACAAAAATGCCTCTAAAAAAGTCCTGGAGAGGACTACAGGGCTGCACAAGGAAGTAAAATGGGGGTAAGAGTAGGACAAGTGCCCTGCAAACAAATGTGGATAGGGAAATCACTTAAAATAACATAAAAATAAAAAATACAGCTGAGCCATAAAATAGCACTAGATGGAATCTTTGATTTTAGCTTTGGAAGAACATAAATCAAAATCTAAAGCATGGCTGTCAGGAGGATCAACAGAATTATCCATTTGAGAGAGGGTTGGAGTGCAGGGTATTCTCTTTCGTTGTTAAAACTGAGCTCAACTCCTGATGCATGGAGAAAAGGCCTTCACAAGCCTCTGCTATTGCGTACATAGTTTATACTAAGTGACCCAAAGGTTGAGGAGGCGGTGACCGTGGCAGTGTAGGTGGAAGCCGCGGTGGAGGAGGAGGAGGTAGGCAACACTGTTTTTATATATATATATATATATTTTAAATTGGGGTAGCCCCCAAAATATTGGGACATATAAAAAAGGAAACATTTGCAGCCTGCGGTGCATTTCTTGCAGTCCTGATGCATGGAGAAATTACCTTCACAAACCTCTGCTATTGTGTACATAGTTTATATTAAGTGACCCAAAGGTTGAGGAGGCGGTGACCGTGACAGTGTAGGTGGAAGCCGCGGTGGAGGAGGTAGGCAACACTGTTTTTTATTTAAAAAAAATAAATAAATTAATTGGGGTAGCCCCCAAAATATTGGGACATATAAAAAAAGAAAACTGTTCCGCAGAGCGACTGACCCGTGCGTGCTGCAGCTGAAACTCCACTATTGCCTGCTGCGGCTCGCACAGTCTCGCTGAAGTTGGTGGTGAAGGTGTTATGCTGACCGGATGAGGAGGTGGTAGAGGAGGAGGAGGAAGAAGCTGAGTAGGAGGAGGAGGCAACAGGAGGCAAAGCTGTGTACCCAAATAAAGATTGTCAAACGTTGTATCCTGGAACTGTGTCCCATCCGGTTACTGGGGTAATGGGTCTGACCTATTCTAATCAAAGGGGATAACCATCGGTTATCCAGGTCCCGCTTCAATTGGTGGCAAGCGGCGGGATCCCATGTCCTTGCCAACAGACCCATGGACTACAGTGCTCTGAAGCGACCTACACTGCAGGTCTTGTGTGGAGCCAGAGGAATAACGACTGGTAGGCGTAACAAGGCCGAATTGACTGCTGCGCTCATGGAGGACGACCAGGCACGCAGTGAGGCAACAAACCCCAGCCAGGGGCCGGAGATGAGGAGGAAGTACGCAAGGAGGTGTAACGGCACCTGGCATAATACCGAGAGCCACCCTCAGAGGAGATTGTCAACAGGACCTTTTTGGAGGTGCAAGCCTAGGTCCTTGCCAATAGACAGAGGGCGACGTCTATGAACCCAGATGAAGGAAGAAGGGAGCAGAGAGCGCCGGGAAGCACAACCACCCTGGCCCACAAGCTACCATACAATGCCTTCAAAGACTTCAAGGAAGCAGAAGAAGATGTGGACCCCAGTGACTGGGTCACCATCCTGGCCAGCAAACTAGTGGGGAAGGCAGCGTATATTTACTGGGCTGTACCAGAAGAGCATATCATAGACTATCCCTTTATTAACCAAATCCTCCTGGCCCGGTATGCGGTCACCCCTGAGCAATACCGCTGAAAGTTTAGGGAGACCCGGAAAGGACTCCCATGCGGAGTGGGCATGCCGCATCACAAGGGCCACCCAGAACTGGCTCAACTCCCATGAAGCCAAGTTCCCGGAGGAGATCACCCAGCTCGTCATGCTACAACACTTTTTCAATGGGCTCCACAACGCATTCGTATGTCATCCCTATCTACTTTCGATGCCACTTTCTGCGCCTACCATGGTGACAACGGGTAACAGGGAATCAGGGTTCTATTCCGGAGAGGGAGCCTGAGAAATGGCTACCACATGCAAGGAAGGCAGCAGGGGCGCAAATGACCCACTCCCGACGCGGAAAGGTAGTGACGACAAATAACAATACAGGATTCTTTAGAGGCCCTGTAATTGTAATGAGTCCACTTGAAATCCTTTAACTCTGATCAATTGGAGGGCAAGTCTAGTGCAGAACGACTGACGCGTGCGTGCTACAGCTGAAGCTCCACTATCGCCTGCTGTTGCTCGCACAGTCTCTCCAGCATGTAGAAGGTGTAGTTCCACCTTGCGGGGACATCGCATATGAGGTGGTGAGCGGGAAGGCCAACGCTACGCTGCAGCACAGACAGGCGAGCAGCAGCAGGGTGAGAATGCAGAAAGTGCGCACAGCCGCTACAGTGAATGTCACTTCCTGTTCCAAGTTGCGGATCAGTCTGCTGATGGCTTCTGATATCCAGTACTCTTTTTACTGAAGCTGCATCAGGGTCCTGGTATGTGGCCGCACAAACGCTGGTGCTCAACACCACGGGGCGTGCGGTTACCCTGCACCAGACACTGCTAATCCATTCCACGCTGTGACTCCTAACTTCAATATCAGGCATACTGGGTCCCGGTCGTCCGACCGCCGCCCAGACAGTGTCTGGGTCCCAGTCACCGGACTTGCGAAACTGCGAATGGCTTGTTAAATCTGTTATGGTTCCTTTTATCGCTCCATCTGTTACTTGGATAATTGTGGGAATTCTAAAGATAATACATGCCGACGAGTGCTAGGGGACGGCTGCTCCGCTTTTGCACCCTGCTCCATCTTAAGCTGTGCTAGTGTCTCTGTGCGACCAGCGCCTCTTCCTCCAATTTGCACACATCACTTGCATGACCTTCATTCCATGTGGGGTCTAGGACCTCATCATCCTCCACATCATCTTCCACCCACTCCTCAACCCTGCCCTCCTTGCTGGTCGGCAGAAAGCCACAGCAGTTGGCACCTGTGTTTTTCCAGCATGTAAAGTCTGCAAAGGACATATGGAAATTGTTTTAGAATTGTATTCAGGCAACAGTTTTCCCTATAAACTGACCTCTCAGTTTGACTTGTGAGGGTATTGCCCCCGAATTACAATATTGTTATATTGGTATTTGACGGTTCTATTTGACTGTCAGATATGAATTGCAGGCTGCAAATGTACTATTTAGCACCAAAAAAAATTGGAATTGGTAAAACTGCGATGTAACCACAGTATTTGATGGTTCTATTTGACTGTCAGATATGAAGTGCACACCCCAAATTTACTTTTTATCACCCAAAACAATTAGAATTTTTAAAAGTGCGCTGAAAGCACAGTATATGACGGTTCTATTTGACTCTCAGATATGAAGTGCACCGCAGGCCGCAAATGTACTATTTAGAAGCCAAAAAATGTGAATGTTTAAAACTGCTATGTCACAGCACTATTTGACTCTCAGATGTGAAGAGCACGCCCCAAATGTACTTCTTAGGAGCAAAAAAATGGGAATTTGTCAAAGTGCGCTGTAAACACAGTATTTGACGCATCTATTTGACTCTCAGATATGAAGTGCAGGCATCAAATTGACTTTTTAGCACCTAAAGAATTAGAATTTTTACAACTGCAATGTAAGCACAATATTTGACGCTTCTATTTGACTCTCAGATATGAAGAGCACGCCCCAAATTTACTATTTAGTAGTTTAGCACCAAAACAATTAGAATTTTTACAAGTGCGCTGTAACCGTGATATTTGACTCTCAGATATGAAGAGCACGCCCCAAATTTACTATTTAGCAGATTAGCACCCAGAAAATAAGAATGTTTACAATTGGACTGTAACTGCACTATTTGACGCTTCTATTTGACTCTCAGATATGAAGTGCAGGGCCCAAATTTACTATTTAGCAGATTAGCACCCAGAAAATAAGAATGTTTACAATTGCGTTGTAACCGCACTATTTGACGCTTCTATTTGACTCTCAGATATGAAGAGCATGCCCCAAATTTACTATTTAGCAGTTTAGCACCAAAACAATTAGAATTTTTACAAGTGCGCTGTAACCGCAGGATTTGACACTCAGATATGAAGAGCACGCCCCAAATTTACTATTTAGCAGATTAGCACCCAGAAAATAAGAATGTTTACAATTGCACTGTAACTGCACTATTTGACGCTTCTATTTGACTCTCAGATGTGAAGAGCACGCCCCAAATTTACTATTTAGCAGATAAGCACCAAAACAATTAGAATTTTTACAAGTGCGCTGTAATCGCAGTATTTGACGCTTCTATTTGACTCTCAGATATGAAGTGCAGGGCCCACATTTACTATTTAGCAGATTAGCACCCAGAAAATAAGAATGTTTACACATCATCTGCAAAAAGAGATCTTGATCTCTTCATTTTGTGTCTTACTCCCCTTTATATTGATGTTCTGTCTAATCATACTAGCTAATGGTTCAATGATAAGAATATACAACAGGAGTGCCAAATGGAAGCCCTGTCTAGTACCATTATTTACTACAAAAATATCAGATTCAAAAAAAGGATTACTTATTTTTGCTGAAGAGTTCATATAGAGCAGCATAGTTTTATTTCTAAATTGCTTCTCCCCCTGACAAAGCGCTATTGGTCAATATTGAGTAGGTCATCAATAACTTTCTTTAACCCTTTAGTGACCAGACCATTTTTCAAATTTTCTTACCTTTAAGGACCAGGGCTCTTTTCACATTTCTTCAGTGTTTGTGTTTAGCTGTAACTTTCCTCTTACTTATTTACTGTACACACACATACACTGCCTGGCCAAAAAAGAGGTCACACACTAATATTTAGTTGGACCGCCTTTAGCTTTGATTACGGCACACATTCGCTGTGGCATTGTTTCGATAAGCTTCTGCAATGTCACAAGATTTATTTCCGTGCAGTGTTGCATACATTTTTCACCAAGCTCTTGTATTGATGATGGGAGAATACATTTTTCACCAAGATCTTGAATTGATGATGGGCAAAACCTTCTCTAGCACATCCCAAAGATTCTCAATGGTTCCCAAAGATTCTCATAGGAAATGCTTTCCTATGAGACTAGCTGAATGCGCGCGAGCTCCTGCCGCGCATGCGCATTCAGCCGAAGAGGAGGTGGAGAGGAGGAGGAGAGCTCCCCGCCTGGTGCTTGAGAAAGGTAAGATTTTAACCCCTTCCTCTCCCCAGAGCTCGGCAGGAGGGGGACCCTGAGGGTGGGGGCACCCTCAGGGCACTATGGTGCCAGGAAAACAAGTATGTTTTCCTCAAAACTATAGTGGTCCTTTGAACACATTGACATCTTTTCTACGACCACGGGATCTGTCTTTCGACATGGTTGTTTAAGAAATGAGAAGCTACTCATTGCATCAGTTGGGGTTAAATAACTTGTTGCCAGCTGAAAGATAATTGCCCATGTAGTAACTATCCAATAGGAGACTCTTACCTATTTGCTTAGTTAAATCGAGGTGGCAACGTTTTTTTTTGGCCAGGCAGTTTATTATAAACTGTTTTTCTCGACATTCAATGGTCTTTCTAAAGATACTATTATTTTCATCATATCATATAATTTACTATAAAAACTATTTTAAAGTATGATGTAAAAATGTAAAAAAACCAAACACTTTTTCGAACTTTGACCCCAAAATCTGTTACGCATCGACAACCGCAAAAAAAACCTGTGCTAAATAGTTAAAAAATTTTGTCCTGAGTTTACAAATACGCAATGTTAACATGTTCTTAGCTTTTTTTGGAAAGCTATAGGGATATAAGTATAGATATAAGTAGAACTTTGCTATTTCCAAACCATTTTTTTTCAAAATTAATGCATGTTACATTGTAACACTGATATCTGTCTGGTATCCATAAATAACCCTTCACTCCTTTTAAAAGAAGACAACTTGGGGTATTTTGACTTTTGTCATGCAACCATTTTACCACCAATCTATGCCAAATTAAAAAAACAAATAATAATTGGTGATTTTTTTGACACACATAGCAGTTTAAGAATACATGTACTGAGAAATGTAAGGGTTACTGCCAAAGAACACCAGAATATGTGTTCGGCAACATCTCCTGAGTACAGTGATACCACCCACGTATTGGTGTGTCGGGTTCACTGGGGGCTAAAAGACCTTATTTGGCGGGTGCGCATTCCAGTTTTCCAACTTGGAATTTTCACAGCTGGTCATCATGCACTCATGTCCTATTTGGAATATTTTTAAAGCCGACCAATGTAATTTACCCCCATCAAATCATATATTTTTGAAAACTAGACAACCCAGGGTATTTAATATGAGATATGTCCAGTCTTTTTTAGTAGCACTTAGTCACAAACACTGGCGGCCAAAGTTAGCATTTATATTTGTTTTCGTGTTAAAACCCCATTTGCAATACCTTGGGTTGTCTTCTTTTGCAAGTGGTATGCCACCATGGGAGTAATTCTCATTCCCAGGCTACCATATGCTCTCAAAGGCAACATAACCAATCTGGCAAATTTCTATGTGAAAAAATGGCCTTATATTTGACCCTGTAACTTTCAAAAACACTATAAACCTTGTACATGGGGGAGGGGGAGGGTGGGCACTGTTATTCTCGGGAGACTTCTCTGAACACAAATATTAGTGTTTCAAAACAGTAAAATGTATTACAACAATGATATCATTAGTAAATGTTCAGTTTGTGTGTGAAAAGTGCAAAAAACTTCACTTTCACTGGCAATATCATCGCTGTGATATGTTTAACTGTTTTGAAACACTAATATTTGTGTTAAGCAAAGTCTACCAAGTAAAACAGTACCCCCATGTACAGTGTTTAGGGTGTATTGGAAAGTTACAGGGTTAAATATAGTGCTATCAAATTAAATTATCTGGACTTTCGGCCTAGGTTGTCAGGCCGGTCCCCCAAATTGCAATCAATAAAATTACTTATGTAAAAATATTACATAAATATGCACGTTGAATTTAAATATATATACATATTTATATTTTTGAAGTCTACGTGTATATTTATGAAATTATTTATGTGATTATGTATAGTTCGTATTATTTTTATATATATATACATATATATTTTAATTATTTTTACATTTTATATTTATTTTTAATTATTATTTATTTTTATAATAATATATATACACTGCTCAAAAAATAAAGGGAACACTTAAGCAACACAATGTAACGCCAAGTCAATCACTTCTGTGAAATCAAACTG